TAACCATTTTACATTAAATTGCATATTTTATAGATTTTAGGTTGTTAAAGGCACACAAAATTAGTGACGCTACTAAGTAGTAGTTACGCTACTTGGCGATAGAGTGCGCTGAGTGTTTGTAAAACGGGGTAACGTTGTTTTTTAAGTATTTTTATCGCTTTTAAATTTTGGTTCCAACCATTTTACATTAAGTTGCGTATTTTATAGATTTTAGGTTGTTAAAGGTACACGAAACCATAGTGGCAACAATACTCAACGATTAGCAATATATTGTACGCTGTTGTTTCAACGCTCGATAGATGGCGTTAGGATCGAGTTAGATGGCGCTATGGTTTCGTTACCGGCGAAAGTATAGGTTCCGAGCTTCCGTATCAGCTATATTATAGTGTACGCATCTAGCGCTTAAATTGATAATTATTATTGTTTGTTCGCTATGTAGGTTTGGTTAGTCAAGTGTTATTTTTTCTAGGTAGATATTAGTATTTAAAGTACTATAGTAATTTTTTTTGCGTTCTAAGACGCTTTGTTCATTGTTTACGTTGATTGATACAGTAGCTATATTAGTTAGGTTAGATTAGTGAAGTGGTTTATTTCTAAGTAGATGTCTAAAGTAGTTAGGTTTTCGATAATAAAACGTATAATATAGTTTACCACTCAGTTTTGGTTTAGCGTTGCAAATATAACCCTTATAGGAAATAGAAGTCTTTTAAATTAGAATGGGAGGAGGTATTTGTGGTAATGCGAAAATAACTTCTTCTGTTCTTTCACGCGGCTGAATCGATTTTGAAGAAATTTGGTATAAAGGTAGTTTGAGTCCTGGAAAAGCAAGGCTTTACCGCGGCAGAATTTCTCATTCCCACGAAAAAATCTAAAACGCGCGTTATAACCGAATTCCACGCAAGCGAACAGCTGTTTGTTTGTTTGCCTGTCTTAAACGGCAAAACGGAGGTACTTAACGTGATTTTTCAACTGAAGGTAGGTGAAGGGATGGGTAGTCACATAGGCTACGTTTTATCTTTTTGTGACGCGAGCGAAGCCGCGGGTAAAAGCTTCCTTACTAATATTATAAATCTGAAAGTGAGTTTGTTTGTTTGTTTGTTTGTTCCACCTTCACGCCGTAACTACTACACCGATTGCTTTGAAATTTTGCAGACGTAAAGTTAGAAGTCCAGATTAAATAATAGGGTACTTTTTATCCCGGAAAAATGTGATATTCCCGAGGGAAAACAAAAATATTAGTATAGATGGCGCTGTGTGTATTCCTGTAGATGGCGCTTTGTGCCATCTAAAACAATTCAACGAATTACCTACTAATTGGAAATTTCACGCTTTAATCTATAGCGCTTATTTGGTGTTAATCTAATTCAGTGCGCTTTTCGACTCATTTATTTGCTATTTTTAATGTAAAAATACTTAAAAAACACAACGTGGTAACGTTGTGTAGTAGTTACGCTACTTGGCGATAGATGGCGCTGAGTGTTTATAAAACGGGGTAGCGTTGTGCTTTTAAAGTACTTTTATCGCTTTTAAATTTTGGTTCCTACCATTGTACATTGAATTGTGTATTTTATAGATTTTAGGTTGTTAAAGGTACATGAAATTGGTGTCTATGTAGTAGTTACGCTATTTTTTAAGTATTTTTCGCTTTTAAATTTTGGTTCTAACCATTTTACATTAAATTGCATATTTTATAGATTTTAGGTTGTTAAAGGCACACAAAATTAGTGACGCTACTAATGTAGTAGTTACGCTACTTGGCGATAGAGTGCGCTGAGTGTTTGTAAAACGGGGTAACGTTGTTTTTTAAGTATTTTTATCGCTTTTAAATTTTGGTTCCAACCATTTTACATTAAGTTGCGTATTTTATAGATTTTAGGTTGTTAAAGGTACACGAAACCATAGTGGCAACAATACTCAACGATTAGCAAATATATTGTACGCTGTTGTTTCAACGCTCGATAGATGGCGTTAGGATCGAGTTAGATGGCGCTATGGTTTCGTTACCGGCGAAAGTATAGGTTCCGAGCTTCCGTATCAGCTATATTATAGTGTACGCATCTAGCGCTTAAATTGATAATTATTATTGTTTGTTCGCTATGTAGGTTTGGTTAGTCAAGTGTTATTTTTTCTAGGTAGATATTAGTATTTAAAGTACCTACTATAGTAATTTTTTTTGGTCGTTCTAAGACGCTTTGTTCATTGTTTACGTTGATTGATACAGTAGCTATATTAGTTAGGTTAGATTAGTGAAGTGTTTATTTCTAAGTAGATGTCTAAAGTAGTTAGGTTTTCGATAATAAAACGTATAATATAGTTTACCACTCAGTTTTGGTTTAGCGTTGCAAATATAACCCTTATAGGAAATAGAAGTCTTTTAAATTAGAATGGGAGGAGGTATTTGTGGTAATGCGAAAATAACTTCTTCTGTTCTTTCACGCGGCTGAATCGATTTTGAAGAAATTTGGTATAAAGGTAGTTTGAGTCCTGGAAAAGCAAGGCTTTACCGCGGCAGAATTTCTCATTCCCACGAAAAAATCTAAAACGCGCGTTATAACCGAATTCCACGCAAGCGAACAGCTGTTTGTTTGTTTGCCTGTCTTAAACGGCAAAACGGAGGTACTTAACGTGATTTTTCAACTGAAGGTAGGTGAAGGGATGGGTAGTCACATAGGCTACGTTTTATCTTTTTGTGACGCGAGCGAAGCCGCGGGTAAAAGCTAGTCAAGAATGAACCCATTGTTTTTTTTAAGGGGTAAAATTATCGAATGGCTTAGGGAGTGTCAGACTCTTACTGACTAAAAACCACCCCATTCCTACTCCTGTTCTTCGAGCCGGAGCCCCGGTAACCCGTTAGGTTCTCCGCAACACTGTAAGGAATGAACCCATAAGAATACAAATAGCATTGTATGCTTAACTGATCAATCCTACCTATCCTAAGTGATCACCTGTGACTGCTCTCCACTAAAACCATTATAGATCTTATTTCCAGTGTTTAGAGACTACAAATAATTTTGGGGATTTATATCAGATGATTGTGTTAACTGAAGTTCAGTTAATATCTTTGAATTTGCTTTGTTTAACAACCATTTCTGGTTATCGAGTCTTGTAGATGTATTCAAAGTCAAAATCATTTGAGTATTTCAGACCAAAAAGGCACTTTTGAGCGTCAACAACACAAGTGAAGCTATATGCTCATTCCAAGGTGTAGATTCGTATGGAGAAGAATGTGCAAAAAAACTCCATAGGTTACTCTTTTTCAATCAAGTTAGCAATACAATTGTTTAGTTAGTGTTGTAGTCAAATTGACTAGAAGATCTACAATTAATTGATTCCATATCATTATGATTTTACCAATTAAATGGACTGTCTTCATCATTGCTACTAATTTGGTACTAAGCAGACACATGTTATCATCAAAATCACATAACACAACGCCTTTTTAACCACAAAGGAGTAAGTAGAGGTGCACATTACGGCACTTAATGCCACTGTACAATGTAACACCCACTTTTCACTATTTATGTTATGAGTCTTGTAATAGGGGGTGAGCCTATATACTGGTAATAATTCCAGACTCCGTGCTACTACTGAGATTTATTTATTAAAAACCCCGTAATACTCTGCCTGACCCGGGAATGGAACCTGAGACTCCTTGCCAGGCAGTCGCACTTGGGACCACTATGCCAACGAGGCAGTCGCACTTGGGACCACTATGCCAACGAGGCAGTCGCATCAAAATGATGTCTCAACTATGCAAAAATAATCATAATAGATTTGCAACCTGATTTAAGACACATAGTACGAAAAGTTCATGTTTTCATAGACATCTGCGCATAGTGGACCTCTTACCAACCTTTTTGGAGGAAAAAAATATAAAGTTATATGTTTTTTATTGATTTAAAAGTACTTAATCATTATAATGTCCTTGTAACCTGTATTATAATTACAACAACAAATAAAGATAGGTACTTGTCATAACTAATTAGAAAAGTATGACCATTTCTTGTTTACTTTTTTCATCCAAAGAGAATTTTATACCTTATAAGAATAACCAAGGAGATTCTAATAAGAACTAGAGTGTTTTTTTAATATGACAACCATAGTGTTATGTAATAACAATATGTCAGGTGTCTATGTAAACACATAGTTTCAGTAAGTTTGTTTACTCGTATCATGAACCATTCTCAGAAATGGTACACAAATTCTGATATAGTGTCAAATTTTCATAAGACAATGGTAGGATACACAAAGAATGTGACTATCAGTATTTTAGATAGTATCATGAGTATGTTTTCTGTTGTTTTAGATAACTTATCTACTACTAACTGACTTTGTCCCTACAAAATCGATTCAGTTTGAATAAGTCGACAGATTGTAGTCGACACTCGCTCCATCCCGTACACAGTACGCATTTAACAAAATAGTACCAGCAATAACTCTGTAATTGATCAACTGAACATTGAATGAACACATCAATTGATAATAATTGATGCAAAAAACAATTGTACAAAAGATTGCTGAAAAAGAAATCATCCATTCCCGCCATTTTGGAACCTCAATTAAAAAGTTAAAGCAATGCAAATGCCTTTGCATTGCAAAAAGTAAAATTCTACATTTAAAAACGTTTTTCACGATTTTTTTTCTCAGTATAAACCGACTGATTGGAAAAGTGTCGACATGTTAGCCGGTTTAATAGTAAACAATGTACAATCAAACTGGTTTGTTTAATGTTATTTTTTTAACAAACACGTTCTCGCCCCTCATACATCAGCTAGTTGTAGATTAAAACGGGTTATATTGTAATGTTTGCCAAACCTGACCGCTGCGCCGACGAAAGGCTTTGGACGAATGGAAAAAAACCACTTAGCACAACACGAAAATCGAGCACTGCACTGCTGAGATCGCACTTACACCTCCGGAGACACTTTACAAACGTGTAATACAGGAATGAAACACTAAAACCACAGTGATACGCGACATTACGACAAAAGGGTACGCACCTTAGTCTTAGTAATAATGTGTGTAGCGAGTTTTACAACAGCGAAATTCCCCGTGCCAATCGTTTTCTCCAGCTCGTAATTGCCAACACACACGAGCTGGTCTATCGGGAAGTGTTTGCTTTTGTGCATTGGCTTCATATTGCTGGCCATTTCGTGAGAAACTTGAAGTAATTCGCTCAGCCTCACATTACCCACCGAGCGAAATTCGTCTACTGGCGCTAGTTCGCGCCGACTGCCGCAATGGCGCCACTGTCACTCACGTCATTCGCTTTGGGATGTTCATGTGCGCCCCTCGATGTTTCATTAACAAAATCTATTTTATTTATATTAAATTCACATTTCACGCGCGACACTGAACGAAAACACAATGATTTTAACTGGCCATCATGATGATGTAGCCACGAATGTCAAACAGGTGTTGACAGACGCTGTTATCAGTGTTTCTCTTATCAATACGTAGGGATTCAATTGAACAACACAGGCTCATGAAAATAAGAACTCGATTCACAACCTTTACGCGACTCGCGCTGTCTCGCTCTATGTAATTCATGTGTCCAACGTTAGAAAGAAATAGGTAGAGAGATCTCCGTCAGGCGGGAGGCCGCGTGACGTCATTAGGCTCGGCTGACGTCACACGCGGCAATTTCAAACTAGAGACGGTGTGGGGTGTACGTCAGTAGAAAATATCGATTATTCTTATCGCTAAGTGCAACTTTTACTTAAAAAACGCTATTATATCTCATGATGGACATTGACAAAATGTCAATTTCGCTAAAATAAGATATCTTTCAAAGAAATTCAGTGCGCAATATAAGATTTATGAATGTTCATTCAAGTGAATCTGTATTATAATGAAACATTGATTCATACTCTCTCGTTAGAGCGGAGTTTTTCATCTCGAGCTACAGTCAAGCATGAATCCACTTAATGGCGATACGTTTTTTGTAATAGAAATCAGTAGAAATGTCGCGTTTTTGCTTAGAGAACGCCTTTTAAAATTCAAGGTCTTGTGTTATCGACGTTATATGTATTGCGTAGTAGATATGATCTATTAGATTATGTATTCGGGAGGAGATAACTGGGTTTCTATAATACAGGCGCCATTCATTCATTGATGGCCTTATCTAAGTCGGAATCTGTATCGATTATACGAAAATTGTTAATAACGCCATCTGTTGAGTCAAAAATGTAAACTGTTGGAAAATTTTCCAACATGGTGTTTGTTTTGCTTTGAGCATGGCAGCGACATCTATGAGGTTGTGCATAAACTACAAAGAATGCGTTGCTTGCATAAATTATATGAAAAAGAGAATGCTGCTTTTTATATATTTTGTGTAAAATCCTTTTTTGGTTTATTTGGAGTCTTCAAGTACCTAGTTCTATTTTATTTGGTAATAAATTAGCTTCTGCTTGCGAATTCGCAATCCCGTTTTCTCCCCTTCTCGTAGGATTTTCAGGGCTTTTTTCTGTCATAACAACCTTCTCCTAATAATACTCATTGTCAATACTATACTCTTATAAAATCATTTTCAATGTATTATTAGTCTGTAAGCCTTCTTAAAATAAATAAAATAAAAAATAAAAATAAAATAACAAATACAACGAAAAAAGAATCAGCGAAATCGGTCCAGTCATTCACACGTGTTGCCGTGACCAAAGGAAAAAGGGATTCATTTTTATAATTATAAATATAGATTGCGATATTTTTTTAATGGTGAACTACATTGTTGTCTTCTTCATACCCTGCCTACAAATCATTATGAAGACTAGGTCTATTTAAAATCTAGACCGCAAGCTAGACTAGAGTAACTAGAACTTGGTACAATAGTTTTCAGCGTTTCTTATAGCTTAGTTGCGAGAAAAATTGGAAATTTCCAAATTGATAAAACCAATGCTAACGTTGCCTTGTGGTTTTGAATTCGAACCCAACCTAGAGTCAAAATCGTATAACTATATTTTTTAAACGTTGCCCCACCCTAGGATTTCCTCCTGTGTCGTGTGTACGTTTATAAACATACAAGTTCACATACACACACACAAACACGGAACTACGATCTGTGGAGCACACATCTCGTACAAAATTCATAGAAAACTATTGTTTTTGACAGTGACTGCACGGTTGCTGCGGTGGCTGGGCAACCGGGTGCCGTGCAATGTGTCGCAGGTTCGATTCCCGCACGGAACAACACAATATTCTTCAAAATCCATCCAGTAGTTTCAGCGTGATTGACGAAGAAACATCCAAAGAAACTATAGCATTTAAAATATTAAATTTGTTATAAAATAAAACTCATTAGTTTAGAATTAACATTTATTGTTACTGTAAATATTAGTTGGGAGGAAGATTTGACGAATACATTCTCTACTCGACTCCAGCGCCCTCTGTGGCATCAGGTGCCTGGAAAAAAAACTCCTTCAATTTTCATACATCAACAGCTCGGTGCAGTCCATTGTTGTATTATCTTTATATATACAATTCTTTTGTGAGTAGTGAAGACCGCATCATCGCTTACCACCAGGCGAGATAGTGGGCAAACGTCGTCCCATCAAATATATAAAAAAAAAACTATAGGTCTCCGCTACTTTATATATGGTTTGTTACAATTTGCACGGTGCAACGGCATCTGGCTGCCGCGCAACGTGTCGTGAGTTCGATTCCCGCACGGACCAACTCTTTGTGTGATCCACAGATTGTAGTTGTCTATGTGTGATGTGTATGTGAACTTGTATGTTTGTAAACGCACCCATGATACAGTAGAAAATCTTAGTCTGTTTGTTTTTCACAAAAAGGGAATATCAAAGACAACGTACTGCCTTGTTGGCTAGTGGTTGCAAGTGCGATTGCCGGGCAAGGGGCCTCAGGTTGAATTCCCGGGTCGGGCAAAGTATAACTGAGGTTTTTAAAAATTCTCAGTATTAGCATGGAGTCTGGAATTGTTGTGTCCGGTATATACCGGTAATAGAGAATGAGCATATACCCATATGGGTATATGCTTGACCCAGTAATATTTTGCCTGACCTGGGAATCGAACCCGAGACCCCTTGCCCGGCAGTTACACTTGCGACCATTCGGCCCTATTACACCCCCTATTACATGGGACTCATAACATAAATAGTGAAAAGTGGGTGTTACATTGTACAGTGGCATTGAGTGCCGTACTGTGCCCCTCTGCCTACCCCTTTAGAAGTCCGTACCAGTATGTCGCAGTGCTATGCAGTGAGCAGGTCCGGCGCGGCGCCGGCCAGCAGGTCGGCGGCCCCGGCCACGGCCACACACCAGGCGTCCAGGCGGCCGGCCAGCGCCGCCGCGCCCGCGCGGGGCAGCGCGCGCGGGCGGACCCAGCCTATGTGCGCTGTACTGTTCACCTGGAGAAAAAAAAGTTAATATGGTATTATTAACCCTTTGAGTACCGTCATTAATCATTATAGACACAATTAAAGAACAATAGGTTGCGGTCACCGGTGTCCTCGCGGTGTTTGACAGTTTAAAAGTAAACAAAAGTATTTGACTGCACAGTTGGCGCGGAGACTGAGCGAATATATATGAGCGGTACTTTCCTTCATCAAAAATATTATTTCAACTGATGACTGACAAACAATAATCACACTTTCATTCATTGATTTTATGACCAACTTAATTTTAGTATTTTTCCAGCTAATATTTAAGAAATAAGTATGTTGTTTGACGCTGAAAAACGTGACGTCACAATACACAATCTCGTACAAAATTCATAGAATCGAAAAAGTATTGAATTTGACTAGTTGGCGAGTAGCCAATTGATTGTACCTGATCAATGTGCCCCCTGATGAGTTTCTCGGCGAGCGCCTTCATGACCAGCAGTTCCACTTCATCAATGGGCACCCTGGCCTCGCGGGCAATCTCTGCGAATGTCAACTTGCGCTGAGCTGACGTGCGGTTGAAAGCCATCTGGAAATTTAATAAAAATGATTAGAGAACATGCCAATTGGGATGATGACAGGGTATGAAAATAAAAAATCTATTTAGTCCGTAAGGTAGATAATGAAAAAACATTAGACACGTATTTTGTTTTGTCGTATAATAAAATAATACTTAGATAAAACGAATCAAAGTTTAGGAGTGGGGGCTAAAACGTAATTTCTACGTATAATATGTACACAAAGCACCGCTAATTAGTTAGCGGCGCTACACATCGACACAACTATCATTTACACAATATACATGTGTGGGTAATTTCATATCAATAGATATGTATAGAAACATTCGTCTATCACACACATCTTGGTATTTAAAAATCATTTTTGTGTCGGTATACGCAATAATTTAGTAAATAAGTTTAAATAAAAACGAGGGTAAAGATAAAATTACTCATAACAAACTTTGAATAAATCGAAATCAAAAATAATGAACGATCGAGCTATACAATACCCATATAAATATAGTGCTTTCTCATTGTAATTTTATGTTACTGAATGATATAAAATATTTCGATGATCTCATCTACAGCGCGCTTGGCGCAATGGTTATCGCCTCCAATTGTCAAGTAAAGTGCCGCCGGATCGATTCCAACATTCACATGTTGTTTTAGAATTAATTTATCAAATATTTGAAATTTGAAATTAGAAACAATTAAATCTTTTCTTTTTTTTTCCTTTCCTATTGTTCTAAATCTTATGTTAATTTTAATAGTAAATACTTTAGATTTATTTATACCTATAATATCTTTTATTTATATTTTAGTTCTAGTTATTTATTATTTAGAATAATCTCATTTGCTTCATGCATTTCAACCAACTTAAATAAGATAAAAACAGTAAAAAAGTAATTAACTGTGATTTCTTAATGGTTCGATACCTGAGTATATTTGCAATGTTTGTGGCGACCATAGAAATCTCGAGTCATTTTATTTTACACGCTTATGAAGTAACTACCGACTATTTAAAACATGTTTTTCAAATCACCCGACTTACAAAATAATTGCGTTCTTAGTTGTCAATTTATGAGGATTTCATAGTTTATTGCTACACTACTTATATTCGTGTGCAAAGTTATTTTTATTTTTACAAGATGTTCCAACACCTATCAACATTTAAAAAGGCTGAAACCATTGTTTTGCATGAGCAAAACATAACTAACAATAACTGAAATAGCAAGGCGTTTAATGATATCGGTGAGTAAATAAGATACTACGTTGATATTCTAAATAATATTTATTTCATTTTGTAACTCGACACACCTATCAATTTTTGCACTAGAATAAAATAATTATTGCAACTTATTATGAAGTTCAATATTATAAAGATATATTAATAATTTATTATTAATTGTATTGTAACTTGACTTGTTTTTGTTAGGAGTGTTTCTTTAAAACATATCTGGTTAGGGATTTTTATTCCTTACGCCACTACTTAATTATAAATTATTATTCTAACATTGTGTTTACTTATATTTATTATTATTTTTAAGTAACTTTAATTCCTGTAAAGTATTTCCTGGTATTTTAAATACTTATTTGTTTGGTATCAACAGAGGAGATCCATGCAGTTATGGGTGCACAGATATGCGGAGACCGGTGACGTTAAACATCGTCGACGTGGGCCTAAACCAAAGGCAAATTCATCGGCTCGGCACTACGACATCGTAGCCAGGCACATGGCTGATCCGTTCCTGCCAACCCGCACTACAGCGACAGCACTGAATGTTTTAATACAAACTGTACGGAGACACCTGCATTCTGGTTTAAGGTGCAGGAAGCCAGAGAAGAAAATATTGTTATCTGTGGTTCACCAGCAAAAGCGCTAAGAATTTGCTAAGGACTTTATTAATTTTGATTGGGCGAACAGTGTAATCATATTGAGCGACGAAAAGACTTTCAAGTCGGATAAGGATGGGCGTAAAATATTGTGAAGAAAAGATGGAGAAAGGTATACGAATTGCAACCTTCTGCCTTGTAGGATCAGTGATTGTATTGATTTCGGAATCAATTATTGAGCCTGTCAAACTCTGCCTTTATTAAAATTAACATAAAATAATGTTTAATTTTTTTAAGAATATTAAAATGCTGTCTAGAACATACGGTGAAGTGATGTTATTGTTTTGTGGTTAGAAATTGTCATAATTTCTTTCTATTCAACATGTTTATTCACTTCACTTTAATTTTTCATTAACAAATTTATTTAACTGCTTTCGAACTTGATTGACATATTATATTTACGCCCATCTTCAATTAATTTAAAGTTTCCCTGATTCTAAAGGTCATGAAAGTTAAAATCGTTCCATAGCATTCGTCACATTCTTTTTACTATCATACAGCCCACTGAATATTGAACCTTATAACAACCGTCGTAAAATAGATAATTAATGGAAGTTCAAACGACAAAAAGTCGCCCATTTCAAGAAATATTATGTTGACAGTGTAATTTTTTACATGTTTTACTTGTTTATTACTGTAAAACTGTAATTTAATAATACATTATATTATTAAATTACAAAACAAGAATGTTGTATATTTGTTTATTACCTACTTAATAAAAAATGTTGCTGCCATCGTATTACCGCTGTACCGCATGATATTTCCCGATTCGACTATGAGGTTTATTGTCATATCTATTAATTATGATTTAAAGAACTTTAAACTTAACATGTGGTATATAATTAATTATTAGATATAAATATTGAATATAAAACAACATATTTGTATAATAAATAAATTAATTGTAATAAAAAATAGTATTGTTTTATTTACCAACTCATTTGCTTCTTTTATAGCCTGATATTTATATTTTATGACAAAAAACAAAAAAAAAATAAGAAAAATAACAAGGTAAAATAAAATTAACTTTTAGCTGGAATAGAACCCACATCATTGATCCTTGAAAGACGATAAAAGCGTGCTCATTAACCAATCGACCACGAGCACTACGATAATGACAGTGAAAATGTCGGGTCATATCAATGATTGTAAATAGTTTTAACCTTACCTATGCATTAAATTATAAAAATACGTATACCGACACAAGAATGAAAATATCAATGTGAACGTGGTGGACGAATATTTTTATATACAGTTATATGAAATTACGCACACATGTACACTGTGTAAATGACAGTTGTGTCGATGTGTAGCGCTGCAACTAATTAGCGGTGCTTTGTGTACATAGAAGTGACGTCACGCGACATTTCAAATCAATATATCGTCGAAAGTATGCGTTTCTGTAAGAAAATAAAAAATACGTGTCTAATGTTTTTAAACAATCTACCAGACGGACATTAAAATAAAAATTAGGCATCTACCCTATTCGGAGGAGAACGGCAGAATAGACTTATGTCACTGCCTTCTCTTTCTTTCTGAGGGGAGAAATTCACTCAAACTTCTCCCGCCTTTTTTATGGGTTAAGCCGGTAAACGAGCAGACGGATCACCTGATGGTAAGCAATCAGCGTTGTCCATAGACACCCGCAAGACGCGTTACAAGTGTGTTACCGCCCTTTTGAGATTGGGAATTTGATGACTGTGGGGGATTCGGGGATTGGGGAGGTGGGTTAATCGGGTCTTCGGTAACCTCACTCTCACGACGAAACACAACGCGAACGTTGTATTGTTTCACTATGGTTTTCTCCTCGTTGGGTGTATCACTCCGGTCAAGCCGGCCCATTCGTGCCGAAGCATGGCTCTCCCACTTTTAAATGGCCTTGTGTGAACCGAGAGAGTGTCAGACTCTTACTGACTAAACACCACTCCGTTCCTTCACCTGCAGAGAGCCGGATATCTCAAATTCAGTTTGCCCTTACCTCCATCAAACACAAGATAGCGATCTTCTGCCTCAGTTGTCTATCAGTGCGCGCTAGATCAGGATGGTGGGCCGACGCGCGGACCTTCTCAAAGAGTGCGACGTCTCCGGAGGCCACCGCCTTCACCAGCTCGCAGGCCCACGCGTCCGGAGTGCCTTGCAGGGATTCCAGGATTGGGTGGGCTAGCTGTGGAGGTGGAAAGAGTAATTGTGATTAGGAATTGAGATGAGTAGATCTGTTTTTATGAATACTTAGTTGTTGCCCGCGACTTCATTCGCTTAGAATATTAATTTTAGAATTTGTTTTTGTTTCAATTTTCCAAAATAAAAGTAGCCTATGTTACTTCTTGGTATATCAGCTACCTGCCAATAAAAGTCTCGTCAAAATCGGTCCAGCTATTCCAAAGATTAGCCAGCACAAACAGACACACAGACAGACAAAAATGATAAAAAATGTTATTTTGGCATGTGTATCGTATGTATATTCATATGTATGTAGTAAAAAGCAGTCATCTTAGACTCTCCAGTAGTTTTATTTTATTTATTATATTGGTTTTATAAAATGGCATTAAGTGCCATAATGTGCACCTCTGCCTACCCCATCGGGGATAAAAAAACGTGATGTTATGATATGTTTTATAAAGTTATATTTATTTTTAAATTAATTTAATATGTTATTATAATAATTAGTTTACTACCCTATTAAATCGGCCATTTTAAACCACAACAAATAATAATTTAAAATGACAAATAATACTAACCAACTCCCCAAGATCATAAACGTTTGGTGCGATGACGGCGGCGAGCGCGAGTCTGAGCGCGGTGGCGCGGCGCTCCTCGGGCGCCAGGCCCGCGCCCCCGCCCGCGCAGCCCACGTAGCGCAGCGCTGAGCGGTAGTACTTCGCCATCGGACCTCGGACTCTGTGGAACGTTGTTTGTTTAGTCTTCTATTATTTAGTGACTTGTAGACAGGTGTCTACAAAATTGTCTACAATTTTTATTACAAAAACAATATATTCCCACGCACATATCTTTATTCTCTACTAGCTGTTGCCCAACTAGAATATGATTCCTGTTTTATTTCATGGGAGCATTTAATCAGGATAAAAAGTATCTTATCACAAGTCAGAACACCAAATTTCATCAAAATCCGTTCACTGAACGGCGTTCAGTAGTTTCAGCGTGATTGACGGACAAACAAACAAAGTCACATTTATATTATTAGTGTAATGCTCTCATAATCTTGACTTACTCTGAACCTTATGAAAACCTCATAATGTCTATATCACAGCATAAATAAATGGTTTTTCTATTTCTTCTCCATAAAAAACTATTCAGCAATTTAAGAGTCTACCACAAATAGATATACAGACAAGCCTTTAATTTGAATCATACATACATATGTCATACATACATAACTTCACACCTGTCTCCCATGGGGGTAGGCAGAGACTATAGAACGATTACTACGATTCCTACACACCTCTTTCGCTTCATCAGCAGTCATCACTCTTTTCATGCATGCGCCTTGGCTACTTTAAATAATAATACCTGTAATACTCAGAAGCGAGCTTGTAAAATCTGCCGTGCACTGGAGTGACACCGTCAGCATCCTCGAGGCTGCCCTCCAGCTGTTCAATGATCTTCTCCGTGGCGTCCAAGTCATTCAGCTGTTCCAGGTATATCTGGCCTTGGAGGACCTGGAATGAGAAGGTATTACTGTTATTTAGGTTTTAAAAAACTGTGATCAGCTATTGAGATGGGTATAATCAAAATTTTTGGGAATCGAATTGCAATCAAATTCCCAAGGGTGGGGATTATGGCATCCCTTTCTGATACTCAGACTTTTGTTTAGAAGTCTGACAGACCTTGCTGGACTGGTCATCGTCTAAGACATAAGTTTCCTGCTAGTCAGGCATATTATAGGATAGGTCTAGTTTAAAAGATTCAGGTAGGTATATGAGTTTTTATAATAACTATTGTGAGACATACTAAATTAGCTAAAATCGCGGGTTACTACGCTCTACTAGTTTCGAACCACAGAGGAGTTCCTTATGAAGCTTTTCTCAGTGTATTCACGTGAGTAACCCGCGATTTTAGTTAATCGAAATTCACGTTTATAAATAAGATGTTAAAGTAATTTGTAAAAGATGCATATCACTCGATGTTACACTCACCTTGCAGAGTGCGAGTGCTTCATCGTTAGCCTTGACTTTGCCCTCGATTTTCTCGAGGAAGGCGATGGCTTCCTTCTTATTGGTGTACTGCTTTACCACATGAGCTATAATCTCCACCAGGGAGAGTGGGTTTATTCTGGAAGGAGTAAGAGTTATATAAGTATCGAAGAAAGAAGAATTTAGTTTTGACAATCAAAGACCAAGTGGTCGAGTTGGCATTGAGGTTTAACGCACCCGCTTTTCATGCATAAGGGTTTGAAACCTACCATCGGCAAGTACCAATGTGACTTTCTCCGAGCTATATGTCTTTTCTAAGATTATTTAGACACCACTGAGAAACGGTGAAGGAAAACATCGTGAGGGAACCTGGACTTATAGTTTCTAATCATAAGTTTGAAATTGCCAAACCGCAATGAGCAAGTTTGATGATTAATGCTCAAACCTTCTCTGTGTGAGAAGAGGCTTTGCTCAGTAGTAGGCATATACATATATAAGCTGTAGATGATGATGATGATGAATGACCAAACATTGTATTTGAATTTGTTCTCTTGCTACTTTGACTTTCTTCATCAGTCAGTCAGTCTGTCTGTCAGTGACTTGCTCATTCCATGTATGAAGTAGTTAGAAAGAAGTTTTTTCAAAATGTGTTTACAATCAAAACATTTCTATGATGACTCATACAGTTTTCCATGACAAGCATTTTTAAATGCTAGAAGTCAAAGTCAAAATTATTTATTTCATTTAGACCAGAAATGCACTTTTGAATGTCAACAAAAAAATTAAAAGTGAAGCTATTTGCTCATTCCAAGGTGTAGATTCCTATGGAGAAGAACGAGCAAGAAACTCCATAGGTTACTCTTTTTCAATCAGGTTCACAATACAATTCTCTAGTTACATAGTTTTGCTGTTTGAATTGTGCGAGAACAATGTAACACTAAAATCCAGTCAAAGTGATCGAAAAGAAAATCGTCAAGTCTGATTTTTAGTTTTTAGACAAAGAGAACCCTAGTCAACGTTAACCAGTCATTATGAAGGTAAAATTTAACTATTGAGGTATTAAAAATCTAAATACAATAGAAAACAGACACAAACAGTGACAATAAACTTACTTATTTTCAAAATAACTAACAAAATTGGCGTATAAAGTGATCAGGTTGTCTCCAGTCTGCATGGTGGGCTTCTCCACCAGCTCCTGGATCTTCAGGGTAAGCTGGTGCCATAATCTGAAAGAAGAATATGTGTGTAATGTATATGTATCTGTACTTTTTCCAATTTGATGGAAACTCTAGAAAAATAAGTGAAGGAATGTGTCGTAACTATGTTTAATCGAAAGTTAGATAGTAGATTTGGTTGAATTTACTACAAGAAAATCATGGTTGAAGTTACTATACAGAGTGATGAAAATAGGTGCCGCGTATCTCATGTATAATGGGAAGTATTGTAATTTATTTGATGTTATCGAGTTATTAATGAGAATTGGATGATAGGGTAGCTAAAGAATTGGAGTTAGAGTAAGTATTATGGCCTGAATTCATAATAAAACAGTTCCAATTTGTTCGGACTAAGGACAATGACACCGTGACTTTTCAACTTTCGATTTAACAGTAAATTTATAGGCAAGATAGTGTAATACTTACTTTTTGTTGTAAAGTTCTTCTAATCTAAGCCATTCTGCAGACAACTCGGGGTGAGTTGTCTGTTTTCTTGCAATAAAATCGTTTAATTCAACGTTATAAAACTTCACGCCAGTCGCCATGTTTCAGATTTACTTGTAATGATATGAAGTTGCTCGCAAATTGCGATTTTGTTGTCAAGTTTTCTGGCTTTGGCAAAGGAATTCGTGTTCAGCCTAACTGAAGTTAGTTAGTTGTGCTGCCATCTAGTATTGAGTAGTAAAGAACAGAGAAGGAATTAGGCTACAACTATTGGATAGTAGATGGCGCTCTCGAAACATAAATTGGTAAAATTAATTACATTTTCTTATTTTATAAATCTATGTGTTTTTGGAGCCCTGAATACTTTATGATTAATTACGCTTTGAGATGTAAACCAAATATAAAAATATTTTATTTAATAAGCTGTACACTTTGTACTAGAACGTAAAAATAAAATTTAAAATACTTAGTTCACAGGCTTAGTCGTCGCGTCGAATATAAAATAAAATAATGTAGGTACCTATTGTTTACTTTAACAAAAATATACGCAGTTCTAATTCCTTAATGGAGCACAGAATACAGTGCTCTGTATCAATTGAAATTAGACTGAAAACCTTAAGCCTACATATTTTCAAACTACATTAAAAAATAATTTACGTGGCTCGTTGACATTGCTGTTGGTCTAAGGGCGTTCTTGATAGAGGGTTTGCCATAATATGCATGCTTGGATTACAGCTTGGATATCACAATAAAAAAGTTTCAGGTTTATCAGAGATTGCTCTCTACCAAAGCTGACTTATAATCTCTATTACGGTTTAAAACACAAAAAACCTATCTATATAAATAAAAACGAATTTACGTTCGTAAGCCTCGCTAAAACTCGAGAACGGCTGAACCGATTTGGCTAATTTTGGTCTTGAAATGTTCATGGAAGTCCAGGGAAGGTTTAAAACATTGATAGTGAGTGAGAAAACATTTTTTAAGTGGTACCTACGAACTTTGTCGGGTCAGCTAGTTTCTTTATAAAAGGTGTCTATTATTTCCTTCATGGTCTGCAATACATTCGTGCTACCTCTATGTTGCAGGTGTACTTAGACCACCAGAGGGCTTACTCTTGAATCCATTTCCGATCGATCGACATTGGTATTGTGAAATTTCGTACTCTTAAGTCGCAACACTAGCGCCCATTGCATCCGTGGATATTGAATGAACTAAATGGTATTGAGTTTGTCTTTATATTTCGTACTCTGAATGCTATTTTAAAGCTACGATTTTTTTTTTAAGGGGGGAAAATCATCGAATGACTGCTCCCACCTGGGTGAGGCAAAAGGGAGTGTCAGACTCTTACTGACTAAAAACCACCCCGTTCCTTCTCCTGCACGTCGAGCCGGAGCCCCGGTTACCCGTTAGGTTCTCCGCGACTCAGGTGTTGTATAGTGTTGACATTGAATAATTATTGAGATTTTATTGGATTGAAATTGCATTGACATTGAGTACCTAAGCACCCGTGTCTACTTACTGTCCTGACTAACTGAAACTTTCAGCTAGCTTTCAGTCTGAATCTGAAAGCTTTGTTGGCACACATAGAACCTAATATTGTAGACTAAATTCGGACAGTACCTAATAAAAGTAATTGTAAATCTTGATAACAGATGGCATTACTGTCGCTGTCACTTTTCAAGGAAATTTTACCTACTTAGATACCATGAATTAATTGTATGATAAATTGTGAACATCGTCAACAGGCTAAGTCAGTCCACATCTGGACTATGAACCTTCTTTTCATAAGAGAGGCATTACCATCGGTAATGTCCAACCCTTGCTTGGTGGTTTTGAGATCGCAGTATAAAAGGTTCAGGTTTATCAGAGAGCGCTGCTGCCCGGTCTCTGTCTAATGTCTAGTGTCTTATGCCGGAATACTGAAACGTTACTCAATTTTAAGTCGTGCTCAAATATCGTGCCATCTCTGTCATTTTACAAAGAATTTGTAGAGATAGAACTATACTTAAGCACGACTTAAAATTGAGTAGCGTTTCAGTATTCCGCCATTAGTCAGCTCTTACGACAAGTGGAAAAATTAGGGATGGCGTGACAGATTCTTGGATCAAGCATGTTAATTCGAATGCTATTTGGTGCCTTATCATTTTTGTGAGATAATACGTACATGTTTTTGTAAATATATTAGTATTTAGTTATTTATATTATTAAATTTACTTTACATAATCATATATTTTTGCCATGAACTTATCATTTCACCAATAAATATGTTGAAATAAAAAAATATTTTGCTGCAAATTACCTATACCAAATACTTTGAAACAAATTAGATACTATGGTAATTTAATATTGACTTCTTAGTCATATGATCTAAATAAAAGGACGTCAAAAGGATAATTTAATGATTAAGCCTCCATCTTCCCGCCCTCATCCCAAGTTCCTTCTGGTCGGCACAATATGTCTTCCTTCCATCCCCTATCAGACGTCATCACATCACAAACTCCTTGCTATTACATATCATTGTTTACACAATCTATACTCCATTTCTTTGCTCGTCCTCCGTCTCCATCCACATTCAAATTCATCATTCACTTTGTCACATGACTGTCATCCCTTCTCGTTGCAACAATGTACATAGCTTATGACCTGAAGCATTAGATATTTGGGCTTCGGACGAAACTGCAGGTTACTCAGGACTTCGGTTCTATGCAGGAGTAGGAACGGGGTGGTGTTTAGTCAGTAAGAGTCTGACACTCTCTCTCGCGTCACCCAGGGCGGGAGAAGTCATTGGCTGAGTTTCCTCCCTAAAAAAAGCATTAGATATTTGCTGTAACTGTAATTCGATATTAGATCTGAGTAGATATGGTGGGTTAGTTTAGTATCAATGTTGTGTAATTAAAAACTTATATTTCTACCAAATTCTAAGGAGTACTGCTAAGGAGTGGAATTCTTTGCCAGAGTCTGTGTTCCCTGAAGGGTATAACCTGGGTGTCTTCAAGGCCCGAGTGAATAGGTTGCTTATGGATCGATGTGCTCCATCGTAGACCGCATCATCGCTTACCACCAGGCGAGATAGTGGGCAAAAGTCGACCCATCAAATATATAAAACAATTCGCTACAATTCAAACTATACTTTATATTTTTAAATAGGTAATCGAAAGCAATAATTAGAATATTATGTTAGTAAATTACTGAACTTCTAAACGAGTAAATATAGGTATTTGGATAATACAATTTTTTCTGCTTGTCTGATTATTATTTGGTCCGATAGATGGCGTTGAATTTTGAATAAACATTACATTACAAGTTTTTTTCGTATTACTTTACTGTGTTGCCAGTGGGATATTTAAATATTTTTTTTTTAAGGCGGGAAAATCAACGAATGACTGCTTCCACCTGGGTGAGGCGGGAGGGAGTGTCAGACTCTTTACTGACTAAAAACCACCCCGTTCCTCCTCCTGCACGTCGAGCCGGAGCCCCGGTTACCCGTTAGGTTCTCCGCGACTCCGTATAGTACTTTAAATTAATTTAGAAGTTTGTTTTCCTCACGTAACTGGTCAACGAGCTGACTTGACTAGTTTCAAGCCTCGACAGGGGCCTATGCTGCACCGTGAACAGCATGAGGCATAATTAATTACAACATTGTCTGCCTCGTTGGCCGAATGGTCACAAGTGGTCTCGTATTTGGAGTACGGAAAAGTATTACTGGGTTGTTAAAAAATTCTTAGTAGTAGCACGGAGTGTGGAATTGTGCCCGATATATGGCAATAGACTCACCACCTATAATATATAAATATATGTACATGAGACTCATAACATAAATAGTGAAAAGTGGGTGTTACATTGTGTATGTGCATTGTGCACCTCTGCCCATCCCATTTGAGGATTAGAAGGTGTGTCATTATTTGTGTACGTCACGGTTAATTTTCTAAGACAAATCATCAATATATAATTTGAATATAACCACGTGCCCAATAAAAAACTTAAAAATAAAACGAACTATGAGGTTTAATTCGTAATAAAACAGCAGTGTTTAGAATATAAAATAACATAACAATAAAATATATGTTAATACAGACTTATATAATAAAATATTAATAAATGACAATAATATTAGAAATAAAAAATTCTATTGTAATCTAATAACAGTTTGTAGCCTACAATTTGACAATTCTTATTTATATTTTCTCGAATATCTCAGTTCTCATTAGAGTTAAACAAAAATGTTTAAAGAACGATTTCTTCTTCAATTAATAAGCTATACGCCAATGTAAGTTTTATCGAAATCGGTTCAGTAGTTTCCGAGTTATGACTCTTAAAGTGCACATACGGTGATATTAAATTCTGATAGGTGAATAATTCTTAGTTTTTAATAGGTATATTAAATAATAATTTTATTGGTGATCACGAAATATAATAGTGACTCTTTTGTTTCGTCTATTGTTTTTTAATAGTTGCTAGTTATGACGTCATGGTGTCTTTTTGTTCTGTATAATCTATACATATAATAATGTCGTGGAGAACCTAACGGGTAACCGGGGCTTCGGCTCGACGTGCAGGAGAAGGAACGGGGTGGTTTTTAGTCAGTAAGAGTCTGACATTCCCTTCCGCCTCACCCAGGCGGGAGCAGTCATTCGATTTTCCGACCTTAAAAAAATACATATAATAATATAAAATCGTAGGAAAGTGAAAACTGTACATCGAATATTAAAAAAAATATGCTTAAAGTGTGATCTACAATGGATGCCGAAGCCAAATATATAGTTTTTAAAATTTTTGTCTGTTTGTCTGTATGTATGTCCGGGCTAAACTCAAAAAGTACTCATGGATTTATTTCAAATTTTGCATGAATATTACTCTATCACGCTATCACCTATGGGGAAGGAGCTGTGAATCACTTTTCTACGTGGACTAAATCGCGGGCATAGCTAGTCTATGTATAAGATTGTGTGAGTAATTATATAGTAAGAAGATTTCTTTGTTTCCTCTACCTACTCAAACTCATTTAAGAAATACAGAATAAAAAAAACTGATTGAAAAAGAGTAACGATTGGTATTGTTACCTATTATACATGGTAATATCAAGTCCGCAAGCATGCTTCAA